GAGTTGTTTTCCTCATTTCATGGACATACTTTCTAGCTGCCTTTATACTTCCTTTATTCATGTGTGTGGTGTGTAGAGTTGTGTCTTCTCTGCTACAGTTTCGATGCATTTAACCCATCTTTTCTTTATCACTTTTGTGTCCTCTTTTAAAGAGAGTTGATTCAGGACAGGCTCCAAAGATACACAGAGAAACCCTGTCTGGAAAAACCAAAGTAAAAAACCCAACCAAAGTTTCACTAAAAGTGCTTCTATTGTAAAAAGTATAGTGTATGTAGTCACCGGGGTCTAGGTTTACATCAGAGCTGTTTAAACTAGAGAGCCTTGAGCACTTGTATTCGGTTCTTGGAGCTTTTGTTTCCTTAACTAAAAACGGAGGCACAATTATGTAAAACAAACTATAACCCTTATCAGTCTATATACACTTTGGATCTGACAGCAAAAGGATGAAAAAGGAAAAAGAGAGAGAAAGCAGGATGTTACAGGCCAACAATCCCCCAAAGCAAGCCTCACACATGGAGTTCATCAGTGACTATAAATATGACACACACTTGCTGAAGAAACTGAGCCTTGAGTAGTAGATCAGTATTTATCCCAGGGTATACAAATGGACTTTGGGCTTCCATCCAATAATGAGAGATGCACTCTCACCCTGAACACTTGGGGGAGGGTCTAGGCCCTGCCCTGGATGAAATGACAGACTGTGGACACCCCCATGGAAGGCCTCACCATCCCTGGGGAAATGAGGGGATATAGGGGGGCTGTTGGGAGGGCTCAGGAGGAGGGGGGAGTGAAAGGGACCTGGAATTGACATGTGAAGCAACCTTGTTTCTAATTTAAAAATAAAAAAATAATAAAAAGAAAAGAAACTGCTTCCTTACCATGAACAGATAAGACAATGGTGATGTGTGACAGCACACAGTGAGCTGGGAAGGATTTACTTGGGAGTATTTTACATCCTTCAAGTAGTATTTTACTACTTCAGTGACAGCTCCTCACACCCTCCCATTAGTAGGCGTTTGTCTTCTACTGACCTGCTCCTTGACTGTATGTCAGAGTACCTGTTTCCTACTGTGCTGTGTCTAACGTTCTGTTAGGAGTGATGAAAATACATTCCTGCTGCTTATTGTTTTCCATTGACCTTATTATATTATTTTGTGCCCTGAGTACACACTTAGCAATAGCTTTAAAAGGAACAAAAACTTTTCCAACCTAGGCAGGTTTGAAAATTTTTCATGTCTGGTTGAGAAAATAACTTAGTCTTTAAACTATAGAGCTTGTTGGAGGTGACAGATTGCCCATAGCCTCCAATTTTTCCTGAGTGAACAGAAATTCCAAGAACTGAATTCTCCTGCTACAAGGTGTGTGATTTGTGTCCAGTATTCATTTTGTTTTCTTTTGAATATCATAGCTCTCAAAGACGTATGTAGTAACAACCCAGTTTTACAGCTTAGAAATGGTTAGACCCTGATTCCAGCATCTAAACTCCGTAATCTGAAGCCATTCCTCCTGAAACCTGATATGCCCAGGATCACCTGGAGATCTCTTACAATAAGGGCTCGGATTGAAGCAGAGATCCAACCTGAGATGAGGCTAAGACCCTGCATGGCTCCTAAGTCCCCAGGAAAGTTCATGATTCAGACCAAAGAGAGTCTCCAGAAACCAAGTGCACACTTCACTGACAAAGGAAGTTTTCTTTGGGTTAGGCCATTCATGCTCATCTTTATTTCTTGGTTATAAGATCTTCCAATTGACTTCCCTGTTGACTTAACTTTGATTTGATAAATATTACTAAACCCTGCAGATTTGTGAGATGCTCCATTCTAGAGAAAACCACAAATCTTAACAATAAAACAAGGACCTGTCTGCTATGATTAATTATTTATTATCTAGAAGGGACACCCATTACAGTATATACTAGGCCATCCTTAGTATAGTGTAGCATGTACTCAGCTGTATGCATGGATTAGCCTGCCTCTGTATTCTGACCTAGGTGCGTATGTCAGTGAGATGAGTAAAAAGATACTCTCTCGACAGAAATTAACACACGTGAAGTTGGACCAAGGTGGGTCCCAGGTCACCGGGAAGATGCATAGAAGGGAGTGTACATTGACATAAGGCATCAGCAGGTCTCCAGTGAGCCCTTAAGGCATACCAAGTAATGTGTGCTGAGGTCAGTAGGCCTCTGCTCAGTTAACACTTTTGCCTAGATGTGTAAGGCTTACTTCAGGCCAGAACAATGATTCTCAACTTAGACAGTTTTTTCCCAAATGTGAAAAGGTCTAGAATCACTTTGGGTTGTCGAAATATGCGGATCCCTTTGAGTTGTCACAACATGTGGATCCCTACCTATATACAATGAGAGCAGACAGGGTTACTTCTATATGATACCACAGACTCCTCCTACCTGGCCCCATATATCCACTCACGACTGAAACATATTCATAGAGCTGAGAAAAGACTATAGCTCCTGATTAATAAATGAAAGGTCCTGCAGTTACAACAGAACTGTGCAGTTTGCCATCCCCACTCATTTGGAAGTATTTCGTCGTAGAGGGACTCAGAAGGTAAATTGACTTTCTGGGGCAGTGCCTTATCTGCCTGCAGCTTCTCTAGCCAAAGATAAGAAAGAAGACCTGTGGATTCTATAAGGAAGGGAGTTGAACCCCCTATGGATTCTATAAGGAAGGGAGCTGGACCCCAAGTGCAGGGAGTCAGGGGAGAGAGGGGAGCAAATGTGAGGGACAGATTTTCAGAGTCAGATCCCAAAGGGTAAAAGACGCTTGCATGAATGTAAAGAAGCACCCCAATAAGACAAGTTAGGGTCTACAAAGACTAAGTCTTAGTGCCACTGGAATGGGAGATGGGTGAGAGATGAGAAGAGACTGGAGAACCAGTAGGGAAACTTTTCATTTCCTTGTAAAAGTGTTAGATCATATAAGCTCAGACCAACAGGAAGTCATAGCCTACTTCCAGGTTGTCCAAACATCATTCTCTGTAAACATACCTGAGTCTTACCCTCACTCTAGAAACGAATCCTACTTGGCATCAGCAACTTCTCCCTCCCTAGGCCTTCAGCTCAATAGGAGGCCCCACCCACACCCACACTCTGCCTAAGATGGAGTGTTAGCTGCCTCGATTCAAGGTGCTATTTGCCCTCTGTTCTTGGGGCTGCAGTCTCATTTATTCTCTTAAATATCTCCTTGACTATTTTTGTGCTTCATTGGAGATTATTTTCTGTGGATTAGGGTGACCCTAAATTGTTTACATCCTCCCCTCCAGTATCTCTCCCTCTCTCCACACATTGACATCCCTCACCTGCCATGCTATATGAGGTCTCCCTAAGCTGAGCAGACATTCTGGTTTGATTGGAAACCAGGAAGATCATACGGGGTGGCATCTTCCATTTTAAAACTGGAAAGATCCGTAAGATCCATGGAAAGCCAGGGAGTCTGGGCATTCTCTCACCCTTCAGGTTACAGTGAGTCAAATGTGCATCCTCTGCTGCCAGGGCTCAAGCTACCCTTGCTTCCGGTTCGCCCATTCCTTCAAAGTTCAGTTTGGTTCAGTTTAGTCCAAGTCAACAAAAAGCTTTTAATCGTCTTTCTCCTGACCCCCAGCCTCTGTGTCTGTTGAAGGTGCTATCAGACAAAGGTGTTAATTAGTTAACCACCAAAGCAAGGCAAGGACAGCTTTCAAGTTAGCCTGGGGGAATCAGTTGTCAGTCAGAAACCGGTGCGGCAATGTGCAGATCATGACAGCGTTTCCCTGAATGCGTTTTGAAACGCTGTTTTCCTTCTCCCCGGCCCTGTGTTTTTTACTTAGAAGAAATGTATGTGTCTCAGCACTGCCTTGCAGCCTATTTGTACCCCAGCTGCTCCGTTGCAGCCAAACTTTGTTTACATATTTCAGTTTTCACGTGAATCAGCCTCAGGCAAATTTGTTCTCTCTCCCGAATCCTCAGCCCTATCTTCTGACGCATCTTAGGCTACAACGGAGCCGTCCCCAGCAACAGTGAACAAGGACATGTGCACACATGAAAACACAGAGGATGAAAAAATCCCACGCCAGCTTTGTAAAGCCACGAAGATGTTCAGCTACAATTTGCCATGTGCTGAAACAACGCGTTTGAAAACCTCTATCCCACCCCTGACCTCTTGTACCAGGAATCTTCTCAATGGACTCATACCTTTTAAACAAAGCTCATTCCAGGCGTGTGTGAACGACAGAGCCTTAGCATACACACGCAAAAGTGGCTGTAGCATTGGCCAGCTCGCTGCTAGCAGCTGTTTCCTGGGAGAACTGGTCGCAACCCAGGACTATCACAATCTGGCCGCCATCTGTTTCTCTAGACGCACCCTCCTCCACCCCCATCTCGCCAGGCACTGACTTCTGAAATGACTCTCCAAAGCCCATTATGCCTTTTCATGCCTCCTCTCCCCTTCCACTCCCTATTTTCATAGACGAGAATATTTGCTACATCACTCATCCTTGCCTGCTAATCGCCTACTGGGTTGTTTATTGGCTTGCTTGGGATGGGGTGGATTATGGGTGCAATGCCATCAATACGGTCTATCTGCAATCAATCAAGCAGTTATTCATATCTTGATCCCTCAGCATCTTTGGCATGTCTATATACGTCAGGACCCCACAGGACCTTAGGCTCCAGAGGATAATACCATTTGGGGCTCATCTGGGAGTCTTGGAAGCAATACTGTGGCAATAAAATAGAGTGCTACGACAAGGAACAAAAAGGTCCACATGGTATGCAAATATTGCTGTGTTGGGACTGGCAGAGGCCTGTTATCTAAGCTACCTCAGAAGCTGGAATTCAGGGGGTTTTCCTTTTAACCTCACAGTTGGACTGTTTCCACATTTAACTTTCCACTTCTTTTCCCCATTTTCTCCAATAGTAGTTAGATGTCGCCCATACCACATCAGTGGGCACGCGCAGAAAAGCTTGACCAATCGTGGATCACCTTTGCTTACCTGACAGGCTTGTCTGTCCTACACGAGAGGATGATCCAAGCAGCCCATGAGAATCCTGCCCCGGGATGCCCATCGTGAGCAGAGGGAGAAGTAATTAGGGAACCTGGTTCTGAGTGTGAAAAAGGACTCAAAGCAGCATACACGGGTACCGCGGGAATGAAGCACCGTTGCCATGGTAACGGGAGCACGCAGCAGGCAAGCAGCAGGCAAGAAGGAGCAAGTAAGTTATTTCCCCCCAAATTTCTTCTTTCCTTCTCTCACTACACCCACCGCCATGCTGGAAGAGCCTGACAGGGAGCCAGTTGACTAAAGGAGAACTAGGGTTTGCAGAGTTCCTGCTTAGCTTCACGGTGCAGCTGATGAAAGAATGGATAGGAGCCGAGAAGCAATAACTTAGACTCATTAACAGCAGTGTTTTCCCACCAGGGTCTTGGAGGGCTACGTAATGCAAGGATGTTCTGTGATCTCTGGACATATAAGTAAATAGATCGCTAAGGTGACTTAGGATCCAGCTGGCTGGGAAAGACTTAGAAGACGACAAAGGTGGAATTATTTCTCATTCTAGTACCAACTCTTTTCTCCACTTTTCTGGTTTTTTGTTTGTTTTGTGTTTGTGTTTGTGTTTACATAATAGGTTAGTGACCTGATTCTTCTAGAGACACAGATGCTAGCGATTTGGGCAACATTTCTTGCTGTTGATCTCACTTAATCCCAATACTTATGAAACAATCTCTCCATCTGTTCACCTTTTTTCCTATTATATTGTGTTTCTGGAGAAAAGACCATGACCATCGAACATCTTGATTTGAGATGCGCTATCTTGTTTGCGTTTGTGCTGGGTGTGATGTCTAAGTTTCACTAAACACTCATTCGTTCATACTTATGGTAAGAGATTTATTGAGCACATCTTGTATATCGGATCCATAAGGCCAGGTCAGGCAAAAAATAATAATTTTAATTGCTACTCTCAAGAAACTCATAGTCTGAGCACAGAAACACAGGTTAAAACGTCTGTAGTCTGTGGTGGTGTTGGGTATAATGGGAACGCAGACAGAAATGAAGTGCATATCGTGGAAATGCAATGCCAGGCTACCCTGGGGGGACATTCACTAAAGCTGACAGTGGGAATTAAGACAGATAAAATCACTTCTTGGATACTGAACTTAGCTCCATAAGAGAATCACCCAGATGTTCATACAAGCTTAAATACAGCCATCTTCTAAGACCCATGTCATAACACTCTCTTGAGGTTGAATCAAAGGCATTAGCATTTTTCAAGTACCCCAGCTTATTCCACTGTGAAGACGGTTTTTGTAAACTTTGCAATGTGAGGTTGGAGAGTTGGCTCAGCTGGTAAAGTGCCTGTTTCTCAAGCAGGAGTAGCTGAATTTGGGTCCCCAGCACACATGCAAAAAGCCAAGGATAGTGGCATATGCCTGCAATCTCAGCACTCGAGAGGCAGATATGAGTGGATCCTTGGGGCTTGTTAGGCAGCTGGTCTTGCATTGCAAGTTTGAAGTGAAAAGCAATAGAGAAAGATACCCATGTCTGCATGTATACAAATGGGCACATATGCATAGATACACTACACACATGTACACTCACACATACATGCATATCTGCAAAGTCAAGAGATATTAATAAGTTGCATGTACAGTGACTTGTCTTGTTACCATGAAAGAATATCTGACAGAAACATCGTAAGGTGAGAAAGGTTTGCTAAGGATCATGGCTTGAAGATGTGACTCTATATAGTGGATTAGGCATAGAGGTGGGAACATGAGGTAACCAGCCACATTGAGTGAACAGCTTGGCAGGGAGTAACAAGTCTTGCTGCTACACTGTTTCTCCTTAGTCCTCAGTCCAGGGTCCCCTCCTTTGGATATGCTGTCATCTACATTCAGGGTTGGTCTTCTCTCTACTTGAAACTCTCTGAAAATACTTAGGGGTGTGTCTCCTAGGTGATTCCAAACTCAGTCAAGTTGGCATGATGATTAATCATCGTGACAGAAAAGGAAGTTCAAGATGACCCTCTAATTTCTGGATTTTGTAACCGCAGAGACAGTGCACACTGAGATAAATTTCCATACTAGAATCACATACTGTTTATCATTGTAAATGTATTATATAAACACAGATTATTCAATAAATGTTGTTGGATGAAAATATGCCTCTTGGGAAGGCTTTCGGCTGATTCCACTTCTACAAGCAAGTGCTTATTGAAGGTTTGATAGAAAATTAGAAGTGATGGCTATAAGCCAGAAACATCCATAGACTCAGATAAAGCTAAGAATTCAGCCTTTGAAGCATGATAGTGTTACCTACAACTCTTACTTATATCATGTTTTGAAATCCTGACTTGTATATCATTAAAAATAGATTCACTAGACCCTTTCTTAGGAGACTCTATGTTATGACAGCCACTCACCATCTATTTGCAGCCTCCACCAGCAAACAGGAAGGTCGTAAAATTATTCTCTTTGAACACAGTGTATAATTTCCAGGGTCAAAGGAGTGGAATCTTTATGGGCTGCAGTTTCCATTCCAAGGTGTTTAATGGGATGAACTGGCTCTACAATTGCCCAGAGCTCATTTCACTTTCTGGAACAATCACCAACACCCAAGACGGTGGCTTGTGTGTCCACCCCATGTGCTGAACATCTTTGGTGTGCCCCACCTGTGAGAGCCGTGAAGAAAAATTACATCTTCGGTATTTGACCTCTAGCATGTTCCATGTTGATTCATGTAAAATTTATTTCTGGATTTCTTCTCTGGTCATTGCTAGTTGTAGGTACTCACCTGGTTATAGAATTTCTCTGTAGTGATTTTTTCCCTTGAAAAAGTAATTGTGGGTTTTTGGCTACTTTTTTAGGTAGTATGTTGATGGTTTTGTGTGTGTGTGTGTGTGTGTGTGTATGCATGCACACACATGTGCATGGTGTACACAAGAAAGTCAGAAGAGGAGGCTGGCCCTTTAGAGCTGACGTTTCAGGTGTTTGCAGAATGCCCAAAGTATTATATGGCTGCTGGGATCAGAGTTCATGATTGCTTAACAAGCATTATTAACTGCTAAACCATCTTTTTTCCAGTCCCTCTTTTAAAATTTGTTTTGCTTGTTTTGTTTTGTGGAAGAAGCATCTCACTGTATGTAGCCCAGGTTGCCCTGCAATTCACTCTGTGGCCCATCAGTGTCAAATCCAGGGCAGTCTTACCCCTTCAGTCTCCCTGTACTTGGTTACAGGATGAGTCACTGTGCTGAGTATAACATTTCTGTTCCTGTAGTTTCTTTTTATCTCCATATGCATATTATTCAGATTTCTAACCAGGATTCCAGTTTCCTCAGGGCAAGAACTGACTCTTGATAAGTTATTTATCTCTTGTGGGTGACAGTTTTTTAATCTGTTCAATAGGAGTCTTAAAAAGTTCCTCACAGGTTTGCAGCAGAATTAAAGGAACATGCACAGAATATCAGCCAAGGAATATAAAATATACCTCCAAAATCATGATTTCCTTTCCTTTAATTCATACTTGAAATCTCCAAAGAATTTTTCATGCTGTTAGTTCAAAATTTATAGTTATACATTGAAAATCTACTGTGTGCTAAACCCTGGCTCAATGTAGTTTTAGTTATTATGGTTGCATGCAAGTGTATCTCCTTTTGCAGGTGAGAGTATTGAAGTTCAATGAGATTAAATACAATAATTTGTTCAAATGCTGAGAACCAGTATGTAAATTGTTAAAAACTCCCCAGTTACTTCATTTCTTCCCATGAAGCTTTTTGCTTCCTTTATTGTTTAACTCCCCTATTGACATAATTTAACTATTGATTATTTTGCAAAATCATTATAGTTTTAGAGAAAAAGTGATATATTTAATCTGTGTGCCAATTTACTTACCCATCTCTATAGTATCACCCATCTCTAGGAAACTATTGAAGGCAAGACTTATTATTAACCTAGTCTACCAGTGGAATAGGAGCAATTGCATTAAAAGTAAATATAGATTTTAAGCTTCATCTTGATTTGGGGAATTTAAGATGAAAGGAGAAAAGAGAATAAGCTAGAATTAATGAGACGTCTTGATTCAAGTAAAGTTTGAACCACTCTCTGTGCGCATTAGCACATCAATTCTCAAAATGATCCTGCCAAAACTAGCATTGCTCCTAGGATCAGTGGACTTAAGAGTAACTGAGGAATTCCACAAGTCATACAGGAGGGAGAGGTGGCCCCACCAGACACATGAACATGGTCTTCATGTGTCAGGCAGTGTTGGTGTCTTTTTTTCCACAATGATTGGAGATTTCAGAGGTACGCGTCTGTGTCATAAGACACCTTCTTCTCTGCCTTCTCTGCGTCTGAGCTTGTATGGTGTCGTGTTGTCTTTCCTGAGTTCCCAAGGGAAACACCCATACAAATCAAGGTATGCCTGTACCCACTCCTTCTCCCTCAAAGCTCCACTCTACCAGGCATGGTCTTATTTCCATGGCCTGTGTCTAAAGTGTGCTCATATCAAACACAGCTCAGCCTCTGAATACCCAGGGCTGTCACTCTTGCCAGCTTCACAACATACAGTAAGAAACTCTGGGCTCTGAAAGTGAGAAAACACAAATGCAAACTATTTGAATCCAGGGAATGTAAAGTTTCGAAACCCCTAGATGCCCAAAATTAATGATATCAAGGGGCTGGTGCTAACGAAATGGCTTCAAAGGAGAGCAGAAACCTTTGCAAGCGGGGATTGAATCATCTGTTGCATCAAGATCAAAGCGTCTCGATGACACCATCTGCACAATACTTTTCCACACAGCCCCAAAAGAGAGGAAATCCCATGGATGATCACAACAGGTACTAGGCAATAAGGATTTGGAGCAAAAACATACACTCTGCTTTGCTTAACCATTTGGACTTCCTAGAAATTAACTATCAAGACATATCAGGTCCAACCCAAGTTTAATTGCCTATGAGACACAAGAGTCTATTTGTAACATAGACTAAAACTGCTCTCCCGGTGCTTATCAAGAAATGCAATATGGAATACAATGGTGTCTAATATTACAGAAGCTCTGCTTCGGGACACAGCCAAAAGTCTCATGGAGGATATTACATTTCCTCATTCCACCAAATAGACTGAAATGGCCCCTATGATTAGGTTCAATAAAGGAACACCACTACTATCCAATGACCCCTTACTGGGTTATTTACACTGCTTTGCACTACTGCTGAA